ATTCTATTGCTTTTTTGCCGTTGTCGTTGCCGTCGCCGTGGTCGTTGCTAAAGCTCCCTAGATGCAACGCAAAACCATCCATCGATCGGAAGAGTTTGAATTCATTAAAACCATTTATTTTTCATTTTGCTCGGTATCGTTTGTTCTTTTTAGGAGAATATATTACATAATATCATAGGTGACGAATTACTCCTTACTTTTGGCGCGAAATTTCAGCGTTAATTTGTAGTTTCACATGTGAAATTACAAAATTGCCAAGGCTACCTGCCGTACGTCTCAGTGTCAAGATGGCGACGAAGGTTTAAAATGCCGTGAATGAAGATGTCAGGGCACAAAAAGACGCTTTAGAAAACCTGAAGGCACAAGAGAACATCAAGAAGGACTCTAACAGGTATTTTGCCGAAAAAGTCTGAAAAATTCTGAACTTTATAAGCCAAATTTAAGGTCCAAACATTTGAGAGAATGCAGTTCTCGATCGATACGATCCAGGATAAACATGTCAAAAATCCAAGATTGCTAACGTAATTCGTCACCCATGATATTAATAGGTAATCAAATGGTTTACTCGTGAAATTAGGGAATAATTTCACTTGCGTTTTGTCCAAATCCTTATAATTTCCCTCGCCTTTGAAATTATAAGGATTTGGACAAACGCGCGTGAAATTATTCTCTAATTTCACTCGTCACCATTTGATTACACAAACTAACCCCTTATTATAAAACACTGTCTGAAAAGCTGCTGGTGGCGGCTTTGATTGTAACAGGGGAGTGCAGAGCTAAAACGATGGCTGATAACAGTAGCCAAAAAATGTAATATATATTTTCGTTGCTCATATTTCCCTCGTTATATTCCCCGGCTCATATTCCCTTCCCCTAAAAGATATACTAGGGAATTTAAGCAGCGACTACGGAAGAGCCAATTACGGTGACCGAAAGTACTTTTTCCCGCCACGCGCCAATGCCCCGAGGTCAAGGAACCACGACGGTGACAGCGGTCAAAACGCCGCTTTTTAATAAAAAGTGAATTCGCATTCTTTCAAACTTTTTCGCGATTATTACAGGTCGCTTATTTTGTCAAAGGTAGGCAAACTCACCAGGAAAAAAGTTTGTCTTTGTTTTTTTACGTCCTCAATAAAACGTAAAATTAGGCATTTTCACGTCGTCTTCGTGCAGTGATGGCAAAGAAGTGTTGATTAAACAATAAGATGCACGTGAAAATTGTTGCTTTGCTAATCAAACTTATTGATTGGCCGTACTACGCTTTCCCGAAAACGTGGAAGATCATGGCGGGCTGTAGTGTCTAGTACATTAACTATTTAGTTGCATTTTACGTGTTTAGAGCGCTAGTGTATATTTGAAACAGAATAGAAAGATATACCCATTTTATCCTTTTTTGGTCATCCTTGGAAATTTCTGAAGGCTCATTTTCCTATCATAAGCCCCAAATGTCGGTGTCAAGCACGACACCCAAGTGAAAAATACAGCCAAATATGCAAAATACAGTTGACGGGAAAGAGGATTTCCTAATGGATATCATCTCACCAAGTGCTGTGAATAAGACAGATAAAACGCAAGCAATCCCTGAATTTGCCCATGCATCGCCCTTTTTTATGATTTTTTTAACATTTTCTTGCCTTGTGGGGTCACTACACGGCTTCAACCTCAGGAGAGTTAGCCAACATTTGACAAAGTAAGCGAGTTGGAATAATCCCGATAGAGAATAAAAAAACGCGAATACACTTTTATAAAACGCTTTCACCGCTATAGCTGTCGTGGTATCTCAAACTCCCTGACTTGAGGCATTGATGGGTGGCGAAAAACTATTACTTCTGGTCACCGTACTGGAACCTTCTGTAGTCTCTGCTTAAAGTCCCTAATATCTAACCTTCCCAGTGAAACAACACAAGTCAGAATTTGAACTTACCACTGACAGTTTTTGTACCTTAACTGCTTCTTCTGCATTTTTCATAGCGCAATGTCTTTCAAACGAGAAACCCGTATCACCAGCCGCGTTATTTGTAAACAAATTTGACACAACAAATCCATCGTTTAACTGCGAACATGCTGGTTTGCAAAGTGACTCGTCGGACGACTAACATAAAAATCTGTCGGGGTGGAAGGTCCAAAAGAGCCTCCAAAACTTCTCTGCCTTAACGTCGTTAAGAATACTTTTTCCTCTGAGTCACTCATTTCTTTCTAATAAAACCACTGTTTGACTACTCCGCATGAATTGACCAACTTCCATATTTTAGAATTCAGCCTCCAACAATTCGAGGCTCTTGGGAATCATCGTCTCTAAAGAATTAAAGCTTTGTTAAAAGCGTTTACATTAGGAAACCTCAAACGTGAAAAATAAGCATGTTATTTTCTTGTCCCTCAAGGGTATGTGATATATTCACACACCTCCTCGTTCCAGGTAAATAACCTTTACATACTTGGTGTAGTTGTCTACAAAACAGATACTAGTGGACTCTTTGTTTTATTCAGACACAAAGCAATTGCGAAGTTGAATTCTTAAAGTCCTTTTCTACACATTTGCACTTAGTTGTCTTTCTTTTTACTTCACGGCTTAACCTCTTGTATGTTTCTAAAAGCAAAAAAAAAGGTTTTGTCGAAATATAAGAGTCCACGGTTTTTTGTTTCAGTTCCTTACAGTATTAAAATATTGGTCTATTTTTTTTTCTTTTTTCCCCCTTTGTGTCAAGAAATATTTTACTCTGCGGTCTCTCTGAAAACTAAAACTGAGTATAATTGCTTTGAGTTAGCCTGCGTGGCAGGCGTTCGAAAGGGAAAGGGAAGGGAATTAGAGCGCGAGACCACGCGCGCCCAAATTCCCCTTCCCCTTCCCCTATTAACGCCTGCCACGCAGGCTAGCTTTGAGTGTACATACCTAATTCAGTATCGAACCTTACCCATGGGGTTGTTTCTGAATTTCACAATTAGGTCTGTTAGGCTCTTACAATGTCCTTGAAAACCAAGGGCCGGTTATTTAAGCCAGTTTAACTAGTGTTAAACAAAACCGCGTTCTAATTAATTTTTTAGCATTAGTTTTTGTTTTATCTAAACACCATTTATCGTGAACAGTTTCATTAAAGCATAAAGCGTAGACTAGAAAAGCATTTATCTTCTTAAATCAACCCACTAAGAAAGAGATCTGGAGGTCTAATGATTTTTTAAACAGCGGCCCAAGTTAGACTTTGTTTAAATAACCGACCCCAAATCTTTGTCTAGGCATTCCTCTCTGTATATCGATTGCCGACACAAAGATCTAAGTAGAAGTGAAGGGAGGGGGGTGACTGAGTTTATAACAAACAGTAAAACATTAATTATCACGAGAATTTCTGGCAGGGTTGTCTAGTATACCCGAAAAAAATTCGCCAAAATACCCAAAAATACCCAAAATTCATCCACATATACCCAAAATTATACCCAGGTATACTTTATACCTGAAATTCAAAGAAAGCGATGTACCGAATACCCGTATTTAAGCTGCAATATACGGTATACCCGATTTAAAAAGCCCCTGTATACCGTATAACCCAAAACCCTGGCCGACCCTGTTCTGGGGAACTAAGCTCCACCGAGCTGACAAAACTGGAAAAACTAAACTAAGTACTTGTATTTATACGCAAGTAAATGAACTATGTGACAGAAAAATGGGACACAGTGAGCGGCAAACTTACGACCAACTTGCAGAAAAAAGGTGTCAACAAGAGAAATCAGAAAAAAATGATAGTAAAAATAAACGCGCGTGAATAAGCCTATGAAATAGCAATCTTACGCATGATTAAAAAATGAATAAATGTAAAAAATGGTTAAACCTAATAATTGAACAACGAATTTGACATCGCAACTAAAAATGAGACCTTTCTAGACAGTAATCGCAAACCGAAGTGCCAAAACAACAAAAGCTACAACTGTGTAACTAAGAAAAGAGTAAAAAAACTGCATTAAAATTTTCTATAGACACGGCCAAAGTGATTGTCACATATGGACTATAACAATGAAAATAAAAATTGACCGCTATTCCTGATGTCCTTCAGGTGACTATTGAACTAGTTGCAAGTGCACAAGCGCTTGCTGTGCAAACTACTAGTCGTAAAATAAGCTGCGAAAAGTAAGCTGTAATTTTTAAATTAACCTACGAAAAGCTTTAACTTATTTATAAACAGATATAATTTTCTCTTCAGGATACAGAGTTCCTATCCTTGCGAGGAACGCTGACCACCTCCTAATCATGTTCACAAATTAAAAAATTGACTTCAACTTCAGATAGTTAGAAACTGCTTCACTGCATTCTTCATCGTACCTATACACAGCAAAAACAGCAAACAGCAACGTTAGCAAGCCATCAGAAGTGTAGGGTGATAAATTCCGCCAGCGAAGTACAATATTTTGACGACTGACTTCTAAGTTCAGACTAACAGTAAACTAACGTCAGATTATCTGTTAGAGCAAAGGGTCACATTTAAACCGGTAACGTCCTCCTACGATTAGTCCTATTAATTGTGAGATTTATCGATACGTAAATAGTTTCCTGCCTTTCGGCTGGTGAAAATGATCTCTGTTGCATCTCATAATCGACCACCCATCAAAAATACCAAAATCACTGATTTTTTCCACTCAGAGCACCATTAATTCCTGGAACCTCTACTAAGCGACCACCTTCCGCAAGAAACCAGCCAATCTTGGCATACAGGGTGGTCGGTCAAGGTAAGTTCTACTGTACGTTAAAATGATGCGAAATCAAACTGGGCCACGGACACTTTGAAATGTAAAGAAATCAGAAGACTTGAAAGAAATGTTCTCATGTTTGACTGCCTAAAGAACTACCAAAGTTGGGTGAACTCGACCTATGATTGCCAGATTGACGTTAAGTGGCACCAGTTGAGTTCGTTGTCCTATAAATTGGCACAATAATTGCTTGTTTTAAAAAATGACGTTTTCTAACGAAGGAAATATGATTTTAGGTTTAAAGAAATCCAAAAATACCTTGTTATTTATTTGGTTCCCTCAAACTCAACCGTTACGTCGTCACCAATGAGAACAAACGGCGCCCAGTACTTTACTGCATTAAACCGGACAGATTCTATCATGGATTTCATGGCTTTATTCAGAGCCTCACTGGCACTTCTTCCATTGACTAGCTGTTGGTAGAAAACTTTCATGAACTCCATAGTAGCCTCGTCGTCAATCGCCCACAAGGACACCAGAACAGAACGAGCACCAGCACCCAAAAACGCTCGTGCGATGCCAACCACGCCCTCAGCATTGATCTCTCCCCGGGCACTATGACAGCAACTAAGTACCACAAGTCTTGCCCTAATCTGCGCCTTTAAAACATCTTTCATAGTTAAGAGATAGTCCTTCTCGACTGGAACCAGGGATGATGACCTTGTTGTGGTTGGTGCCAAGGCTATTTCTCCTGTTTCCATTTTACCGTGAGCGGCAATGTGTACCAAGGCAACCGAGGAGATTCGTCTTAATACTTCATTCTTTGTTGCCTGCTTTCCAACGAGAGGCGTTGTTTGAAGTATTTCACCAATCATCTGCACTTCCTTTTCGGCCCACTTCAACTGCGGTAGCCTTTCCCCTTTATAACGTACTTCCTATACCCACGGATCGCCGACAAGAAGGGCGCCACTCTTGCTGTGCCAGTCTGCCGGACAATTTTTGACTAGTCGAAGACTAGAAAGAGAGGGGAGCAGTCGGATTCTAAGGGTTTCACAGAGGTACTTCGAATTCAGGTCCATGAAGGCAGCATAAGGTGCCAAGAACAAAGGACCTTGAGGGACGAACACAACTTCATCGCCCTGCAGTAAGTCTTTAACAGGGTCTATAACAACATTATAAAATGTTCTCAATGGGTTTGTCTCTAAGAGCGAGGAATAAGGTCTTGGTCNCGCCTTTAAAACATCTTTCATAGTTAAGAGATAGTCCTTCTCGACTGGAACCAGGGATGATGACCTTGTTGTGGTTGGTGCCAAGGCTATTTCTCCTGTTTCCATTTTACCGTGAGCGGCAATGTGTACCAAGGCAACCGAGGAGATTCGTCTTAATACTTCATTCTTTGTTGCCTGCTTTCCAACGAGAGGCGTTGTTTGAAGTATTTCACCAATCATCTGCACTTCCTTTTCGGCCCACTTCAACTGCGGTAGCCTTTCCCCTTTATAACGTACTTCCTGTACCCACGGATCGCCGACAAGAAGGGCGCCACTCTTGCTGTGCCAGTCTGCCGGACAATTTTTGACTAGTCGAAGACTAGAAAGAGAAGGGAGCAGTCGGATTCTAAGGGTTTCACAGAGGTACTTCGAATTCAGGTCCATGAAGGCAGCATAAGGTGCCAAGAACAAAGGACCTTGAGGGACGAACACAACTTCATCGCCCTGCAGTAAGTCTTTAACAGGGTCTATAACAACATTATAAAATGTTCTCAATGGGTTTGTCTCTAAGAGCGAGGAATAAGGTCTTGGTCTCCTGGATCTTTGATCTGATACTTCTTCATCTCTTGAATTTCTTAAGGAGCGGTCTTCACAATTAACATTAACTCTCACACCAAGTTTCTCGTGTGTAATCTCCAATAGAGACTGGAAGTAGGTCGAGATGGGAAAATCTATCTGCCTTCTTTCAGATTTGATTTCTTTTCCAGTTTTGTTGACCCAAAAAACTATTTCTCCCTCGTTAAGCCCTATGAAAGCTGTATTTGATGGTAGGTAATTAACAATGTCCGGTGTAGTTGCAGTCAGTCTTTCCATTTCTGGACGTGACCCTTTAAATCCATACTTCAATTTCAGAAGATCATGCAAAGCTTGTGCACGTCCTTGATCAGCGGTTAAAAGTGCCTCGACGACTTTGCCTTGCTTTAACAGTAGCCCCCATAGTTTTGAATGAACATCATCATACGTACTCCGTAGGCTTATCTTCCACTTATCATTAGATATGAGCTTACCCCTGATGTGGTCAAACGCTTTAACATTGTTTTCATAATAGTGAATGGCTTTTTGGACATCTCCAAGAATGTCATAGGCGTTGCCAAGACTACAATAAGCTCTTCCTTCTCCCGCCTTGTCTCCCACTTCTCTGGCAATTTTGAGGTCTCGCTCATGGTACTCTATGGCTTTCTGGAAATCTGCAATACCGTCATAGGCATTGCCAAGATTACCGTACGCTTGTCCTTCTCCCGCCCTGTCGCCCACTTCTCTGGTAATTTTGAGGTGTCGTTTATGGTAATCTATCGCTGTCTGGAAATCTGAAAGACTGTGATAGGCGTTTCCAAGACTACTGTACGCTCTTCCTTCTCCTGCCCTGTCTCCCACTTCTGTGGCAGTTTCAAGGTGTCGTTCATGGTACTCTATGGCTTTCTGAAAATCTCCAAGACTGTGATAGCCGTTGCCAAGATTGCCGTAGGCGTTACCTTCTCCTGCTCTGTCTCCTACTTCCCTGGCAATTTCGAGGTGTCGTTCATGGTAGTCTATTGCTTTCCTGACCTCTCCAAGACTGGCATATGTGTTGCCAAGATTACAGTACGCTCCTCCCTCTCTTGCCCTTTCTCTCAGTTCCTGGGTAATTTTTAGGTGTTGTTTATGGTAGTCTATTGCCTTCTGGAAATCTCCAAGACTGTGATAGGCGTTGCCCAGATTACCGTACACTTTTCCTTCTCCAGCTCTGTCTCCCACTCTTCGGGTAATTATGAGGTTGCGTTCATGGTAGTCAATGGCTTTATGGAAGTTTCCAAGACCGCGATAAGCGTTGCCAAGATTACCGTATGCTTTTCCTTCTTGTACTTTGTCTTCCATTTCTGTGGCAATTTTGAGATGTCGTTCATGGTTGTCTATGGCTTTCTGAAAATCTCCAAGACCGTGATATGCGTTGCCAAAATTACAATACGCTCTTCCTTCTCCTGCCTTGTCTCCTACTTCTCTGGCAATTTCGAGGCGTTGTTCATGATACTGTATTGCTTTCTGAAAATCTCCAAGGCTGTTATAGGCGTTGCCAAGGTTACTATACGCTGTACCTTCTCCTGACCTGTCTCCAACTTCTCTGGAAATTGTGAGGTCTCGTTCATGATAATGTATGGCTTTCTGGAAATCTCCCAGACCGTCATAGGCTTTGCCAAGATTACAATACGCTCTTCCTTCTCCTGCCCTGTCTCCTTCTTCTCTGGAAATTTTGAGGTGTCGTTCACGATAGTCAATTGCTTTCTGAAAATCTCCAAGATTGTCATAGGCGTAGCCAAGATTACCGCACGCTTCTCCTTCTCCAGCCCTGTCTCCGATTTTTCTGGAAATTTTGAGGTCTCTTTCATGGTAGTCTATGGCTTTCTGGAAATCATTAATACTGTTATAGGCATTGCCAAGATTACAGCACGCTCTTCCTTCTCCTGCCTTGTCTCCCACTTCTCTGGCAATTTTGAGGTCTCTTTCATGGTAGTCTATAGCTTTCTGGAAATCTCGTAGACTGTGAAATGCGTTGCCAAGAAAACAATACGCTCTTCCTTCTTCTGCCTTGTCCCCTTCTTCTATGGCAATTTGGAGATATCGTTCATAGTACTCTATGGCTTTCTGAAAATCGCCAAGGCCGCGATATGCGTTGCCAAGTGTACAATACGCTCTTCCTTCTTCTGCCTTGTCCCCTTCTTCTATGGCAATTTGGAGATATCGTTCATTGTACTCTATGGCTTTCTGAAAATCGCCAAGGCCGCGATATGCGTTGCCAAGAGTACAGTACGCTTTTCCCTCTTCTTCCCTGTCATCTACTTCTCTTGCAATTTTGAGTCGTTGCTCATGGTAGACCAATGCTTGCTGAAATTCTCCAAGACTATCATAGATGATGCCAAGATTACCGTACGCTTCTCCTTCTCCTGCCCTGTCACCCACCTCTCTGGCAACATTTAGGTGTCGTTCGTAGTAGTCTATGGCTTTCTGCAAATCTCCAAGACTTTCATATGTGTTGCCCAGATTATTGTAGGCTCGTCCTTCTCCTTCCCTGTCTCTCAGCTCTCTGGCAATTTTGAGATCTTGTTCATGGTAGTCTATCGCTTTCTGGAAATCTTCAAGACTGTCATAGTCGTTGCCCAGATTACCGTACGCTCGTCCTTCTTCAGCTCTGTCTCCTACTTCTCTGGCAGTTGCAAGGTGTCGTTCATGGTACTCTATCGCTTTCCAGAAATCTCCAAGACTGTCATAGGCATTGCCAAGATTACAATACGCTTTGCATTCACCTGCTTTGTCCCCCACCTCTCTGGCAATTTTGAGATGCTGTTCATGGTTCTCTATTGCTTTCTTAAAACCTCCAAGACTCTCATAGGCGTTACCAACATTACCGTACGCCCTTCCTTCGCCTACCCTGTCTCCTACCTCTCTGGCAATTTTGAGGTGTTGTTGATGGTAATCTATGGCTTTTTGAAAATCGCCAAGGCGGTCATAGGCGTTGCCAAGATTACAGTACGCTGCTCCTTCTCCTTCCTTATCTCCCACTTCTTTAGCAATTTTGAGGTCTCGTTCATAGTGGTCTATGGCCTTCTTCTCACCAGTATTATCATATACTTTTCCTTCGTTTTTCTTCTCTCCGATTTCCACGGAAATCCTTAAAGACCTTTCATTGTAGTCTATGGCCTCTTGAAGTCCTCCACTGATGTTGTAGGCGTTGCCAAAATTACTGTTCTCGTGCTTTTCTGTGTTCTCAGCCATTGTGACGCTCATTTGCAGAGAAGATATACTGTCAATATAACGGGATATTATTAATCGTGGTTTGCGTCTGATAGGGGTCGTTTGCGTTTGTCTCAAAATAACCAGTTTGGTATTGATCGCAACGTTTTGAATACTTACTGCTGATCTTCATCAGTCGATGGTGTAAATTTGCTGTGCGGGACTACTAGTAGCACCGTGGCTGCTATTGACTGGTGTATTGTGAACTTCACTTATGGTTGATGGCGAACGTCTGCTTGCTGTATGTCCCTATTATGCATGTTCCTTAATTCTTTCGTGCATATATCTTTTTTATGTCAATGTATACTTTACCACATCATGGAGGAATGTTATAAAGTCAGTACTACATCTTTGTTTTCTTGGAACAGTGGCATCCTAAGTTCGCACTAGGTGTGATCAATTTGTGTCGCATTAGAAACAGCCCATATGTCCCGTTATAGTAGGTAACGATGAAGAGCGGTTCATTCAACCCTTTGATGTATGGGAGAACCTCTATAGATTTGATTTCGTGACGTTTGCTATAAACGAATACGGATGTCTGTTAGGACCAGTGGGATCAGTGTCCGTAGGTTTTCTGTAAACATTCGTAGTGGGGCGTTCTTTCGAATCTCTAATGAGTTAGGTTTCAAGGAAAGGGATTGTGTCATCATTCTTAGTCTCCATTGTTGAACGGATAGTTGATTGTTGAGCCTTGAGGTGCAGTAGGAAATCGCCGAAATTATTTCGCATTTAGATGGCGAACGTTGTTTCCAGCTCCTAGGTGTGATTGGCACGGATAATATGACTTGTTCCTCAAAGGTGCTCCTTATAGAGACTAGACTTCTCAAAGCTGCGCTATCTTTTTTGTCATAAATTACCCCATTATACTGAAAGTATATGGACCTTAAAAGATCCTCAAACTGTTTAGCTGTTAAAGATGTGGGGTCAGAAAGGCATGGTCACTCACTATCATACTTAACCTTTGTAAATAATTATCTTACATCGAATGACACAATGATCTCGTTT